AGGGTTTTTTGTTGTCCCCCCGCCCTGGGGGGGGGTCGGGCTGGAAGATCTATTAGGTCCCTTCCGACCCTAAAACTATGAAACTATGAAACTATGACTCACCTTGGGGGGCAGTGGGGGAGGGACGTCAGCTGGCAGCGTGTCACTGGAAGCAAAGTACAGTAGTCAGTGTGGGGCTCGATCCTACCTGGGGCCAGACAGCTCTAGGTGCAGCCGGGCCCCAGGTGCGGGGCAGGGGAGCCACCTGGGGCAAAGGAGGCGGGGGGGAGGGGGTTGCAGGGGCTGTTACCTGCAGGAGTAGGCGCTGCTGGGGCTGGATGACAGGTGCGAGAGAGAGAGACAGCAGGGGTGAGTTGGGCTCCATACTGCTGTGACCCCCTGCCCGCCGGGGGACTGAGAGTCTGGCCATGTACATGGCAGGGGCCCAGGGCCTGGCTGGCAGGGGGTGTGGTAGGGGCTACCCCCCACCTTAAAGACAAGCTCCCCTGGAAGAATGCAGGGGCTCCCAGCTGAGGTCTGTCTGGGTGGGCTCCCAGCTGGGGTCTGTCTGGGTGGGGGTGGGTGGGGAGTATGGCGTGGGGGCACAGCCCCCATGGCTCTGCGGGCACCTACATGTCGACGTCGTCATAGTCGTTGTCCGAGTCTGACGTGTCCCCCCTGCACAGGGCAAAAAGGAAGTCATGCCAGTGCGTGATATCCCAGCCCCACCCCCGGTGCTGGGGGGTGGTCTCGTGGCCCCTGCCTCACCTGTGGCTGCCCATGGAGCTGGCACCGCTTCTGCTGGTGCCATAGCTGACATCTGTGAAGGTTTCCTGGGTGTGAGAGACAGGGGGGTGGGGGTGTCCGTGAGTGGGTAACTGTGCACAGGGGATGCACAGTGGGGAGCTGGGACATGTGGGGTGGGGGGCTTTGGTCCTGCCCTGCCCCCTCCTCTTGTGCCCCATGCCCAGGCCCTTCCCTTCTGACACAGCTGGAGGAGCCCCTCCTTGATCCCCATGCTGCTCCCCAGGGGTTAGACCAGGCTAGGAGTGCAGACCTCCACATACCGTGTGACCCGGGGGCTCCAGCTCCTTCCTCCAGCAGGGCCGGATCTCAATGTGCTGCACTGTAAGGAGAGGCCGTTGAGCGATGTGGGGCAATGGGAACGGGTCCCTGGGTGAGCTCCCAGCCTCCGACCTGGTGGCATCTGGCGGGGCAGGATGGAACTAGGGGCACAGGGTGGCCATGTGGGCTGGTGGGAGGCAAGGGGGAAGGGAGCTGGGGTTCTGCCAGGGCTGGGTGGGGGGCAGGGGCAGGACGTACGGTTGATGTCGGAGTTGCTGCGCTCAACCTGGCCGTGCCGGTGCGTGGAGTGGATCCGCCGAGGCACAGGGGGCGGCAGCTGGGGAAGCAATGCAGGGGTTAACCGTGCCCACCCGGGGACGCCAAGCCGGCTTTGGCATTTGCCCGGCCCTGGGCATGGAAAGGCTGGGGGCTGGTTTTCTAGAGAGGATCCAGCCTTTGGTGGGTGTGCTCTGGGGGCCTGCCCCACCATGCCAGTGCTGGCGCCCCCACCTCGGCCTCTTCCTCCTCCATCTCGCAGCAGCGGGGGTGCTTGTCCGGGTTGTGCAGCTTCTCCAGCAGCTCCAGTGTCAGGCTGCAGCTCAGGCCGGGCTGGGCCACGAACTGGTGCTGGGAAGGGGTGGGAGGTGGGTGAGGGGACTGGGGGTGGCTGCTGATGTCCCTCCTGCACCAACATGCCCCCGGGACCCCGGGCAATGGGGGTCTGGCAGGCCTGGGGCCCCACAGGGGTGGCCGGACTCACCAACAACATTTTGGCGGCGCTCGGTCGCTTCTTGGGGTTCTTGGTCAGCGTCACCTTCACAAAGTTGTGGAAGGCCGCAGACCTAGTTGGGGGGAGGGAAGATCCACAGAGAGGGGAAACTGAGTCGCAGAGAAGGGAAACGACCAGATGTGGGGAGGCGGGTGAGGAGACCCTGCCTCTCCCTCTTCCCTGCGCTGTGGGGAGAACCCAAGAGTCCTGGCCCCCTCCCCACCTCCAGTCCCCCACCACGACTCCCCAGTAGCCGCAGACCCCTGTACCAGCCCACGGCTGTCACCCCCTTGGGCTCGAAGGCTCGGGTAGGTCCGGGGCACCCGGTCAGCCCCACCCTGGCACTCACCACTTGGCCTTGTCCTTGAGCTTTGGCGGCTGGTAGCCGCTCTTGGACATGAGGAAGAGTACCCTGCGGGGACAGGTGGTGCGGCTCAGACGGCAGGTGGCGCGGGGTGAAACTTCCCTCCCCTGGGCCCGGGGGGGGCCGGGGGAAGACCCAAGCGTGGGCAGGCGGCGCCATGGGGCAGCCCGTGGGTGCTGAGCTGGGGGATCTCCGATCATATCGGCGCTTCCTAGACACCCTCCCCCCTCGGCACAGAGCAACAAGGAGAGGAAACCACAGGCAGCCTCCGTGGTGCGGCAGGGAAGGGGTGGTGGGAGGGGGAAACTGCTGTCCTTAGCTTCTGGCCCAGGCGCCACTGGACTCCTGGGTCCCTCCCTCCCTGAGCCTACATGGCCCCCCGGCACTGACCTCAGGGGGTGGACATCGAACATGGGGGGCTGCAGCTCAGCCAGCTCCACCGCTGTGATCCCCACGGACCAGACGTCACACAGCTCGTTGTAGCCACCCTTCAGCTCCACCGCGGCCACCTCGGGGGCCATCCTAGGCACAGGGGAGAGAGCGCATGGCTGCAGTGAGGGCTGTGCCGGGGTGGGGGTGGGGGGTTAATGCCCCCACAGCCTGGAATGGAGGGCACTTGGCACCTGTCAAGCCATGCATTCACGTACAGCCCTCTCTCTACCGAGCCGGGACCCCCCCAGCCCTGTGCATACCAGTAGGGTGTGCCGATGAAGGACATCCGTCGGGCGAAGGTGGCGCTGATCTGCGCGGAGATCCCAAAATCCGCTGCGGGGCAGGAAGCAGAGAAAGGCTCAGCCTGGGCTCTGCAAACTCTGAGCATCCCCCCAGCCCCAGCCTACTTGGCCTGGGCCCCAGACCACCTCCCAGGATGGGCTGTACCTGTGGTTACCTCCCCAGCCCTTGGGCCATGTGGTATCTCAGCCACTTCCCCTGACCTAGGCTGTCCTGGCTGTGCTGGTGCATCCTGGCCTGTCAGTCGGCCCCAGGGGAGCCGTCCCTCCCTCATGGCCCCAGCCCTGTCTTGAAGACCTCAGCCCTGCCCCTCTCCTGCAGCCAGGCGGGTTTGGGAGGCGCACAGGGGTTGGCACCACACAACGGGACGTTCCCAATATGAGCTGAAAAGCAGGGCCTGGCGCAGGGTGCGGAGGACACCGGGGCTGTCACTCACCGAGCTTCACGTCCCCGCTGTCATTGATGAGGATGTTGGCTCCCTGCAGGAGGAAGACAGGGGAGGATAAGTTGCAGCAAAACCCAGGAGGGAACTGGAGCAACCCTGGTGAGCGGCTGATATGCACCTGCTAGGCCCCCTGCACCCTGTGCAGGTTCACCCCTTAATGGAGTCATGGCCCCAGGGTCCAGAAGCCACAAGGCGGCGGGGGGTGAAAGGACTGGGGGTCCCTTGCAGCTGGCTTCTCCCCCAGCATGCCTGTGCAGGAGGTCATCCCATGTCCTGCGTCCGTCTGTCTGTCCTGCCAGGTGGCCGCAGCATCCGGCCCCTTACCCAGCCCAGCGCGGCCAGCTATGGCATCCATCCTGCATCCTCACAGCATCCAGGCAGCTGGCTAAACCACTCATCCATCCTTTCACCCAGCTATGACACTCATCCGTCCATTCACCTGGCCGCCGCACCCATCGGTCCCTCTGTCCCTCCAGCCCCCGCCCCGGGCAGAACTCGTTACCTTGATGTCCCTGTGGATCTTCCCCTGGGTGTGAAGGTAGGACAAGCCCTGAAAGCAGAGAGAGGTGGGCGTCAGTGGGGCTGCCTGCCCCAGTGGTCAGCTCCACGCCGCATTAAGGGAAGGGCTAATGATAGATACATGGTGTTAGAGGGAGTTGCAGCCCGGGAGGGCGGGGGGTTCTGCCCCAGAACTCACCTCCAGCGTTTCTCTGCAGACATAGGCGATCTGCTGCTCGGACAGGGGGCCGGTGACTGCAACGGCAAAGGATGCGCTGGGGGTGGGCGTGATGGGGGCGCCTGCAGCTGGTCAGGCCCTCTGTACCCTTTACCATGGGGGTCTGGTTGCACCCCAACCAGGATCGGGGCCCCATGGGCCCTGAGAAAACTTCCCCCTGGCTCCCACCCTCCAGCCCCTACTGAGGAGGGGTGAGGACAGGCTCCGGGAGGGCAGTGGGTGCTGATGGGTTGGAGCAGAGGGCTGGGAGCATCTTCATGGCCCCCCTAACAGTGTGGGTGCCCGGTGGCCGCATTACCGTGGTAGATGTCCTGCAAAGAGCCTCCCCCGCAGAACTCCATGCAGATCCACAGCTTGTTAAACCTGCGGAGAGCAGAGGGCTGAGTCGGTGCGGGCAGGGGCAGGGGCAGGGGCTGGGGAGAGCCGGGGCAGGGCGGGGCGGGGGGGCAGAAGCAGGCCCTCTCACCGTATGTAGCTCCCGTAATAGGCCACAATGCTGGGGTGCTTGCAGGTCTTCACCATGAGGATCTCCTGCTGGATGGTGGCGCAGTCGTCGTCTGGAGGGACAGGAGCTGCTGTATTTGGGGAGGCTGCCCTGGCTGGGGGCAGCAGGGGGTGCTGTGCTGTGGGAGGGGGGGTGGTCCAGCAGGGGGTGCTGTGATCTGTGGGGCAGAGCTAGCAGGGGATGCCATGATGGAGGGGGCAGCAGGGGGCTCCAATG